GCTAGGAGTGGGCCATTCTTCCGTTCAGCAATTCCATTTTGTTGAGGGGTATCAACACAAGATGTTTGATGAATAATGCCCCTCGACCAGAGAAATTTTTGAAAAATATTAAGTTTATATTCAAAGGCATTGTCAATTCTAAGAACAAGTAATTTTGCATCAAACTGATTTTGAATTTCATCATAAAAGGATTGAAAAACAGAGAATACTTGAGATTTATCTTTAAGAATATAAACCCAAGTTAAACGTGAATAATCATCAATAAATGACACAAAATAACGAGCAGCAAATAAACTAGTAGTACAGGCTGGTCCCCAAACATCCGAATGTACTAACTCATAAGGTTTTAAACTTTTATTATCAAAATGAGACTTAAAAGTAGCCCGATAATGTTTACTAAGTTCGCAAGTAGTACAATTAAACTTAGAAAAATCAACTAAAGAAAGGACCAAGCGTCGAAGACTATTTGAAGAGGGATGTCTAAAGCGATAATGCCACTGGTAAGCTGAAGAAGAGATGGAATGTAGAGCTGTCGGAGCAGTAGTTGGCTGGAAGTAGTAAAGACCATCCTTCTCAAACCCCCCACCAATCGTCTTCTTCTTCTTGAGATCCTGAAAGACACAACGGGAAGGAGAAAACTGACCAATTTAAATCTGTTACGATTTTGCGAACTGACAATAACTTGAATAAAAATCGAGGGATATATAAAACTGAAGAAAAAGTGAGACCCGAAGTGCGGAAGGTACGAATTTCATGAACAGGTGATTTGGCACCATTTGCTATAATAACAACCAATGGTGAGAAAACATAAGAAAAATCATAAAATAAAAAAATAAAAAAAAAAATAAAAAAAAATAAAGATGGGTTACCTGCAATGTGATTTAATGCCCTTGAATCAATGATCCAAGGTGCATAAGATGAATCATGGAGACACGTATTACCTCAAGTAACGATAGTAGCAGTGGAGGAGGGATGATTTGCACGCCCATGCTTTTCCAGAGAATCATACTCGACTTTGGAGAGAACGACTTGTTCATTCGCAGGAGTGGGAGTAGTCTCCTCTAAAACCGAAGCTTGACTAGCCTAAGCTAGCTTGCCATGAAAAGCCTAGCAGAAGTCAACAGAGTGATTGTTTCGGCCACAATGAGTACACTTCTTGCTGCCGCGACCCCCTCTTTACCGCCACGAGTACCACGACCTAGGTTGGAAAGACCTTTGGCCCGTCGTCTTCCACAAAAAGTATCATGTCGCTCGGTAGGAACAATAAGAGCAGGGTGGTTACTCAATCAGAGGGGCATGAATAGATGCTCTTCGAACTCGAGCAAAAGTCTCACTAGCTGTAGGTATCTCCTTGCCCGACAAAATTTGCGAAGTGATCGGAGCGAGTTCGGGTTTAAGTCCAAATAAAAATTTTGCCACCCGAAACTCCTCCCTGTACCGTTTTTGTTGTTCTCTGTCTGTGGTCAATGGTTAGTAGACATTCAATTCTTCCCACATACCCTTCAGTTTTTAGTAATAATCTTTAACAGAACGATCTCCCTGCTGGAGATTAAAAATATCCTAGTACAACTGATAAATACGAGAAATATTCTTCTCTGAAGAATACATGTCCCTAAGATTTTCCCAGATATCTTTGGCAGATTCTAGGAACAACACGTCGTTGAAGATCTCAGGCTCCAAGCTATTCCATAACCAAGTCATAGTCTAAGCATTTTCTTTCTCCCAAGCCTCAATAATCTTTTCATCACTGGTGGGTTTGGTTGATTTAAGATAGGACAGTTTTCCTCGAGCCCGTAAGAACCCCTTTACGGCTCGAGACCATTGAAGGTAGTTCGAGCCTTTCAATTTGGTGCTGGTGATTGACCCAAGAAAATGAGATTCCTTAGTATCCATGACACGAGCTACCAAACAAATGAGATATAGTAGCGAGACGGAGCCGAGATAAGAGAACCAAGATCAAGCTGAGATGAACCAGAGAGAAATTACCAAGGAGAGAGCCGAGGAGGGATCCAAGAGAGATTGGCGAGACGAGAACCGAGATCACCTAGGAGAGAACGCCGAGAAGAGATTGCTAAGAGAAAGCCGAGATAGAATCAAGATCGAAGTCTGAGTAAGACTGGGAAAAAAAAAATTAAAGGGGGATCGATTTCCGCTCTGATACCATGTTGAAAAAGAGAGAGAATATATGAAAATGTATATGTTATTGAGTGAGTAATACAATAATACAATGGTGTTTATATAGGAGAAGCTACAAGAGTATGTGAGCTAGAACAAGTAAACCCTATAGATGATAATTTTTTATATGGTAACGATGGGTGAAGGCGGCTATAGAATACAAAAACTAATATACAATGTAGTCTAATTGTACACGTGTGACAACTCATACAATACTATACAACGCTTCTAATTTAAAAAACATTTTCATTATTTTGGAGATGACGTTAACCATAGAATCAAGGTAGGATGGTTAAATGGATGAGTGCATATAGTATATTATATTTTGTGATAAGCTTATCCACTTACAATTGAAAAAGGGAGTTCTATAATATAGCTATTAGACCAACCATACTTTATGGTAGCAAATGTTGGCAGCTAGGAAACAACATTTGCATAAAGTGAGTGTGGAGATAGATGTGCAGCAAGACTAGAAAGGATACAATTAGAAATGATCACATTCGGGAGACGGTTGTAGTAGCATCAATTGGAGATAAAATGAGAGAAAATAGGTTAAGATAGTTTGGACATGTACAAAGAAGACCCTTAAGTGCAACGGTTAGGAAAAGTGGCACAGTCCACATTTAGGGTAATAATAGGGGAAGAGGAAGACCCATAAATTAGGCATACAGGCAGAGAGGAATGGAAACATGGGATTCATGTAGCCGACTCCAAGTTATTGGGATAAGGCTTAGTTATTGTTGTTTTATCCTACTAATTTAAAAATGATAAGCATCATAGGAAAACAATAACTTATCTTCAAATTTGCATACTTGCCTCCTCTAAATTCTACTTGTTGCCCCTGAAGGCACATCTAAACATCACTTATGTATTTAAGAAAGTGAATGAAAATTTTATTTCTTGGTTTGGTGGACAAAACTTTCAAGTACCTTGTAATTAAAAAAGTCATTAGCTCCAACAATTGAGGATTACCACATGGGCAGATTGCCGCAAAGGGGTAGCCGGTACAAGCCTATTCTTCAACATTATTTGTACAAAGTGCCTCATGCTTGAACCAACATTCTAGCACTTCACCGCCACATTGTATTATAAAAACCCCTTATAAGTTGTACCAAGTAATTACCTATTTTTAAAAAGTGCCTCATGCTCGGACCACACATTCCCACACTTCACTGCCAGAATTTCCATCATTCAAATATAAAAACCCCATGTAAGTTGTAACAAGCAATTGCCTATTGATCTTATAAGGTGTAAGTTCTCCCCAGAAAACTAACAACAATAAAGCTTGACAATCTTATTGGTCCACATCTTCTTTTGCACAAGAATTTAAAAGTGGAGCTAACACTTGCTTTCCAAATTACTTTGTCCATAACTACCATAATAGCGACTGTTAACAACCATCTACTCTAAAAGCTTAAGTTATTAAAAACAATGAAACTTAAATATTTAAATCATTCAACATGCCCCCTCACGTGTGGCCTTCTTTTGGTCCAACACGTGTTTTTCAATTTTAATTTTCAGGGTGACGGTGAGAAACTCGAGACCTTTAGCTCTGATACCATGTTTACAACCATCTGTTCTAAAAGCTTAAGCTGATAGAGAAAGTGTAACTTAAATATTTAAATCCTTCAACATGGACCAAAGAAAAACCTAGCAACGACGCACCCCAGGGACTCAGCCAAGCCATAGAGGACACGACTGAGTCCAATACTCACCAATATAATAGTGAGAATAAGAATCATGTGAGACTCGACCGAGTCCCTAGAGAATTCGCCGAGTCATGTCCAAGCTCTTATGAAGTCTTCGAGTCAACATGTCTAATGATGTGCAAAGTTGATAATTTCATGACCACAATAACCAATTATGCTACGTTATGCCTCATAAAACCCTTTGTCCATTACACCGTATCTTCGAAATTCAAACCATGGATGAAACACTATCATCAAATAAAATAAAATAAAAAGAACATTTACATAGTACCCAAAATACCTCAAAATAGGTTAAGCTTTAACATGGAAAGGGTACAACGATCCCCTCGTAAAGAATTTGGATATCAATGGAGGTGGTCAAAATTTTGAAACAATTTAAGAGTTTTTGGAAAGGGAGCACAAGTAGTAAATGAAGAATACAAGAGACACTAAATATTAGTTCACTTTATATATAATATTATAAACAAAAGAAAACAAATTGTCAGGCAAAAATATATAAATAAAAACACATAACAAATTAAAATAAGTTAACACCTAGTGAAAGAACCAATACTATTCCTTTAGTCCCTAAGAAAGCACGCTATCCAACATTCCAATAATGAACTTCAAAGGGGAGAATGAGAAGGGACTAGAATCAACAAAGAAGATATTTGCAAATGAAACATCAAAATCTAGAATTAGAAAGAAACGAATAAGGGAAAAAAATAAGCTTAAAAGAAGCACATATCTCTTAATATCCAAAAAATTGAAGAGGAAAAAACAAGTTGTTGATTAGACATAAGTGATCAAATCACAAGTGCAAAATCCTGAAGAATATCCCTAGAAGAAATAAAGATATAGGAAAAAAAAATATCGATCTAATTCAGTAACAAAGTTCACCATTACGAGAATGTAAACAGAGCTAGTAAAGTAATACACGACATATTGGTGATTTGTGAGCAAGAAAAGCTCCACCAAGTCCCAGAAAATAAGTTGCATCTTGCAACTTTCTCTAAAGAAATGGACAAAACAGGTAACTAGATCACTATTGGCTAAAATTACATTTCATTCAGCAAACAGAAATCAAACAAGTTAATGGAACAAGATAAAATAATCAGAGGATTGGAAAACAGCAACTAAAATGACAGAACATCTCATTCCAGATTATGGGAATGAAAAACAGTCTATCCATCACAGATTAATTAAACAATCAAGGAAACCACAAAGTGGTAAAAACCAGCTTATATTGTCTCAAGCATTACTGTGACGAACTAAAACCTCCTAAATCTCATAAAAACGGGACGTTTAAACCATAGCGTCTAGGAAGACTTCCACTTCCTTGAAAGATCATCATATGTATCACGTCCACTTCTACCTTCCTTACAGAAAGCATTTTTCAACTTCCCCATTGTTGACTCAAAGATTTTTATCCTTCTATCAAACATGCTCAGTGCAGACCTCCTCAACTCTGACATTCTGCCCATGCTACAAAGCCCAATAAGCAACGCATTCGCACTCTCATCAAGAGGCAGAACACGATTCTTAATCATATAGTCCCAGATCTCAAGCGCCATCTCTGGGTCATCACCATCGAACAACATGGTGATCGCTGCAGCACAATTGGAATGTGATGGAGGCCATTCATTCTTGATCATCTCGTAGAAGAACTTGCCCACTTCACGAACTTTCTTGTTCTTAATCAAACATTGGAAAATCATGTTATACGTTAAAGAATCAGGGAAAGCACCATATAATACCATATCATCAAGGAAATGGAAGGCATTATCAATGTCATTGTTGTTGCAAAGCAGACCAATCATGGCATTGTACATTACCAGATTTGGTGCCAATCCGCTACCCACCATTATATCCCACAAGGACAGGGCTTGAGATGAATTATTCTGCTTGATTAGAATGTCAAGAGCATTAGAGAAATATTTCAAACCTGGTAAGCAATTCTTCCCCTTCATGACTTGAAGAAACTTAATTGCCTCGTCTGCCTGCGCCCCACGAACAAGAGTTGTCAAGAATGCATCATAAGCTGACATGTTTTGAGGGCTCCACCCAACTCGAATCACCATCTCCCCGAACGTGGTCTTTGCCTTCGCCACATTCCCTTCCTTCTCCCACCCTTCCAACAGAATGGCATAAGAATCTCCGTCAGGCGGAATTTTACCCTTGATCCGATCGAAAAACTCTAGTGCCTTCAAAGTTTGATTTTCCTGGCGACAAATTGCACTCAACAAAGAGTTCACAGCCACGGTGTCAGGCTGAAATCCGTACCTGTCCATCACATCAAAGGTCATTACAGCTTCATTAAACCTGCCAGCGACACAATAGTTTCCGAAAGCAGACACGAATGCGGCCATGGACAGCAGCCCTTCTTGTTTCATGGACCGAATCGCGTCCCACATCGGCTCAAACATGCCATTCTTGCCGAGCAAATCCACCATCAGGTTCCAAGCGTGTGCCGAATGCTTCTGGTTCAACCCCGCCCACCGGAAAAATTTCACTGCCGCTGCCGGAGAACCATACGAGAGCTTGAGAACCTCTTCAACAATTTCCGGTAGGGGTTTGATTCCAGAGGACGAAAGCACTGTTTCCAATTCATGCGGTGAGACTTTGCCGAGAATTTCACAGATGACTCTTGCACTTGGGGACACATCTGGGATTTCAAGAAATGATGGGTATAGATGTTGTTGTGATTGTGAGTGTGATCCTGGAATTTGCGATGATGAAGGGATGATCTGGGGTGTGTGCTTGAACGGAACACCTGGGAGTCTGTTGCTAGGGTTTTCGGCCATGGCCTCCATTTGAAAAAGCAGACCAGATTGAAACTCTAAAAAAATATGTAATTATATTTATATAGTCATTTACATGCACCTTAATCTATACGAATTCAAATGTATAATATACAAAGATTTGATTTTTAACAAAGAAATTAACATTGAAGATTGAAAAGCTTTATCGGAGGATTAGAGTAAGAAATTTCCAAGAGAATCGCTTAAATACAAGAAAAAGATGATATTGAACCTTAGAGAGACGAAGACGGAAAGGTTGTTTGCAACTTGAATACGAGTATATATATAGCTTCCTCTGCCTGTTCTTTCTTGAGGAGGTGGGATTTGCAGACGAAAGCATAGATAGCCAATAGCTCGACGGACAAAAGTAAAGGGAATATATATATCGGCCCAGTCCGGCCCAAGGTTTGCTTGGTCCTTTTCATTGCTGTGGAGCGGACAGCCAGGGCCCAGGAACACCGATCCGAATATACTTTTTAGAAAAAATATTTTTGAATAGTGATACTCAAGTCTAATACCAACTTATAATTTCCACTTACATATTTTTCACATTTTTTAATGTAATAGTAGAGTAAAATGTTTGTTTTTATTATTTTATAGTGTTTAACTAATATTTTGAAAACAAAATTTAAATATATATTCTTTTAGTCAATATTTGACTTTTAAAAATTGTTCTTAAACTGAAATTTATGATTATTAAAAATCAAACTTATTATCTTGCCATTTAATATTTTAACGATATATATATATTATATATACAGTTAAAATATAGAATTGAATCGAATTAGATAAAAATATATATATAAGATTCATTTTGATAACAGTTTGGTTGAGAGTTTTTTTTTTTTTTTTTTTCATGATAAAAAATTCACTCACACATTAACATGCTCATATAAAAATTTAAATCTTGACTTTCTATTTTGAGAGTTGGGAAGTATTATTATACTATAAGGCATACAAAAACTTGAGTGAGTGGCTACTTTAGGAAATTATTTTCATTTAAAAAAAAAAAAAAAAACTTATTTTAATAGTGCACTTTTGAATGCAGTCACAATCATTCAAGGGGCATTTTTAAGTATAACGAGTAGACAGTTGGTTATTTACTAGAAAAAACTTTAGATATTAAGTATTACTGCACGCTCACTTAGTTATATTTAATCAATTTTTCTATCTGAATTTAATTTGGAATAAATTACCTTGTTACAGTAAGTCACTTCTTGAGCCCAACTTATAAGATATTGAGAATTGTTAACCAAACCTAATTTAACATTTTTAGATCTGCTTAATATATTCTGATGTGATTTACAGAAATTACAGCCAGTCAAGAAAAATTCTTTGCGACAAGCGGATATAATCCTACTAGTAGTCGGGTGAATAGCAGGACTCACTCATCAGTCAACTACTGCCCAGACCCTAAACAAACACACATATATATATATATAGTTGTCATTCCCGGGAAAATCAGCTGAAGGGTAGTTGGGCCTCCATCTTTCCAATCTTTGCATTCCATCACTTTGTCTGCCCCCAAACCCTCACCACCGGAATATTCCTTTTCGAGCCGGAATTACGTATTTGTCGGCGACATGAAATGCCTTAGGGTGTTGACTACTAAACCAACTGCAACAGTCTTCATCAGAACTTCTAAATTAGCTCCACAAGTGAAAAGGGTCCATCAGTGCCAGTCGTCTGGTGTTAGTTTTCCGGCATCCATGACAACCATCTCAACGCACGGCAAACCCTTGTCGCGGTACGCTTTGCAGGCGGTATCATCGAATATCGGGTCTGGTGTGATTCATGAGTCGCAGGGGAAAACACAGTACTTGGAGGAGAGCATTGAGAAGGTGGAAGGATTAATTTTGTTTTTGTATAAAATATTCGATATAATTTTTTTCTTTCTTTAATGTTGACATTTTATGCTTGTAGGCTATTTATGGGTGCCGATTCTTGGCAATTCTCGCAGTTTTTGGTTCTTTAGTCGGATCCTTACTATGTTTCATAAAGGTACTTTTTTCAGCACCCTATCATTCTCTTATATCTTTTGCTTTACTTTTTTCATTTCATGTTATTTTTTTACCTGTTTGTTTGGAGATGTTGTAGTCTAAGAATAAGCATAGGAGAGACATGTCAATATCTATTCACATTAGGCTTACAATTCGGTTAAGCATTAAGCTCCTTGACAAATTTCTGGTAATTTATTTTACTTGATAATGAGGTGGCTGTGATCTACGTTACCCGGACTCAAGTACGTAAGTGTTGGACATCCTTAAATTCCAAATCTTAGGATACCTCGACTTGGCTTGAAATGTGTCTAAAACTTGTATACGAGTAAGTGGTACGTGGACACGTCTTGCATACTTAAAAACGTAATATGCTACATTAAACATACTCGTGGTAATTGAAACTAAATGAAATATTGGTATAAAAAGAGAGATTTCATCACCTCAGAAACAGAAAAGTCTTCGTTGCTGTCAAATTGGGGCTTTTATTCTTCTTCCGTCTTCAAAATTATAGGATCATGGTATCCAATTTGGGTACCTATATTGAACATATATCTTATACTCACACCCGTGTCATGTCGTGTTGACATGGGTACGTTAAGGGTATAGGAGAGTCCATATAACGCAGGTTGTAATAGAATGGGCTGGCCAATGGATAAATCTTCATGTAACCATGATTACACTATTTAAATTTCATAGGCTGTAGGATGAATAGTAAATAGAATAAAATTTTAGTAAGACAAATTTGAAATTAATTAATTGTATAAAATAATAGTTTGAGAAGTTAATGATTCATAAGGAAGGTGTTAGGTCAATAAAACTTATGCTGGCATATTTCGTGAATGAAAACTAGAGTTTGTAATTTCTTGTTATTTTAGATTGGCTAGAATTTTAGAACTTAGTTAGTGTCAAGTTAGTTACCTCTTTGTTATGGTCAAGGTTGCAATTCAAGCTTCAATTAGAGGCAGAATTTTAATCTTCGACATCAAGGATACAAAGGTAAATTGACACTACCATATGCACTCACCTAGTTAGGGCATGCATTCATATATTATGGTTGCATGATTAAATGTTCAGATTTTGACCAACAGGCCAGTGGCCTAGCGGTATCAGACCCTTACTTCCCAAAGGGAAGTTAGGGGTTCAAGCCTCAGTGGAGGTATGTGTGTGTGAGTACCAACTATGAAGAAAAAAAATGTTCAGATTTTGGAAAATGTAATTGAACTGCATAAAAGTGTTCTTGGAAACATGCTAAATCTGAGCAATTTTTAATACCTAATAATTATAGTGAATTTTGATTAACTGATCTGTCAAAGGCTACTACGGGTTGCATGTCAAATAATTGACATTAATTCTTGATCGATTGAGATGTCCAGAACAAGAGTTTCCTTTTATGTTGAAACACTAAAATTCAATTCTCTATACGTTTTGTCTATAGAATAGACTATGATGTGTGTATATATATATATATATAACATAGACATACAGAGAGACACAAGTTAGAGAGGTTTTATGCAAAATTGAGTGTGTATATATTTTTCTTTAGCATTCATTAATCATATTGCATTAGATTGGTATTGTGCAACATTTGAGTATTGACACCTAAATTGTTACGGAGTTGTATTGAAGAGTTCAACATCAACGAACAATCAATCAACCAAGTTTGGAGTGGAGCATTAGTCTGGAGATCAGAATTGCTATTGAAGAAGTGAATTCATGAGGAGCCAAGTCTATTGGCATAATGGATTGTGTGCCTGGAGAATTGGGTGGAGAGTTTGGTGGATTAGTTTGTATCCAGAGGCAAATAGGGTTTCTGGGGTATGTGAAATTCAACCCGTTTTAATATCTCTTTTTAATAGTGGATTTTTTATTTGACTGGACTAGTTCTCATAGTTTTTCTTGGTTTAGGTTTCCATGTAAAAATCTTGGTGTCCATTGGTCCCGTGGTTGTTATGATTGGGCATGATGATTGGAATTTATTATTTAGTTTTAATTTAGATTTAAATTTTGATAAGTTAAAAATTCAAAAAATATAAAATTAGTTAAATCTACCATCAAGGCTTATTCACTCCCCTCTATGTCTAAATCACAGACCTTGCGCGAACTCTTTCTGAGAATTCAGAACTTGGGGTTCCGGTCCTTTCCCCATTAGAAGGAAAAATTGAAAACTTACTAATTATTGGTGTTCATTTAATGATTTAAAATATGATCATTCATTTGAATGAACTGACTCTTGATTGGCTTATTGTTTATAATTACAGTGGTAAAATCATAATCATATACATCTGCTACTTATTGAATGTATAAATTTTAAGGAGTAACAAGTCGGCAAGGGGATCATATAAATTTCAGAAATGAGTTAAATAGAGTATTTAGCCCAAATTAGAGAAAGCTCCCTCATTCTCTTGTTCGTCTTTTGTCTTCTTTCATCTCTTTAACTTTGTATCTATTCCAATAAATACTGTTGAAATTACTGATTGTGGTACTGGTGCCATGTCCTTAAAGGCTGTTTGACCCTATGAATGGCTCTTGCCAACTTGAACATTACCATCTGTGAATCCCTAAGAAAAGTACCTTGGTGGTTGTTCCAACCGACCTTTTAAACTCTTAGTAGTTTGGTCAGTATTATTTTACCAGCATAAAACAAGGCAAAAGAGGAATCTTCATGAAAGTAATATGCAAGATGCCAGGATATCATTCTTAAATAGAGCTACTGTCTTCTCTTTCATTATACTATTTAGATGAGGGGAGGAAAAGATCTAAACATAAAAGCTGGGAACATAAGACAGGATCCACAATGCGAAGGTAATGTGAAAAAATAAACAAATTTTCTCATTGAATATAGCATGCAAGACCAAGTACCTTTCTGCAAACACAATAGGAAGGCCTTAAAAAGGAAAATTCTTAGACATCACATGTAACTTTGACGAGACAAATTATTGTGGAGGGGCAGTAGTCTAATTTTTATATATTAATGGCCTTTGCTGATATTTTCAGGGGTTGAGACACTGAAATTTAGATTATATACGTGTATCGGGTGTGTGTGTCCAAGTGTTGGACCTCCATAAATGCCTAATTTTTATTAAAGGGAAATAGGGGGGGGTCTATGTAACATAGATTGAAATAAAATTACGAGCGACCGGTGAATGACAATCTCTCTTCTCTTGTCTTCTTAGTATTTCTCTATCCTTTTCTTAACTGCCAACTTACTGAAAAATACTAATGCTGTATTTGAATTCAGGAAGTGTGAAACTTCAAATCTATAAAATGCAGAAAAATATGGTGGATTTATTGGATTTTTGAGTTAAGTTTTACTTATTAAGTAGCTCTTATGCTCATTTTGATTATTGGTAATTTCTATTTCAATTTGTTAATTATTTTCGAGGGCATTCGGTGTTGCTTTTGGCTAGTCATGTATCAGACATTTCCTTCTGTGCTTTTTAACACTTTTCTTATTGCACGTGTTTGTTTGTACTTTGAAGCACCATAATGAAACTGTCATTGTACAATCCTTTTCGTCAACATATTTTGAATATCAGCATCCTTCTTCTCTCGCTGTAAAATGTTAGGATTTGTCTCAAATTGTGTTAAGGCTGTGGAGTTCTGAGAAGTCCGACAGGTCGCACTTTTGGGGATCGGTAACACTTGCCCGATATGTGCGGGATATGTTTTGTTATCTGTTTTTTCTCTTCCCAAAAGGCTGTAGACTTGTGGGGCAAGTTGTTGGGTATGCCCTTCTCAAGTTTCAAGATTTTGTGCAAATAAATCACTAAAACATACATTGGAACAGTATTTTTATTGATTGATGGGTACTCTTGGGAGTTAGAAACATCAATAGCTTTTGACGAGACTGATCTATGCTATTTGCTTTGGTATGCAGGGGTGCACCTGTGTTGTCTCATCTTTCCAACAATACTTTGTGGATGGCGGGAAGGTGATCGTGTTGCTGGTTGAATCCATTGGTGGGTTTGTTAACCATCTTTGTGCTTCTTTTTTCTCTCATTGAGTTTTCAAATGAGTTTTCTTCTTCTTTATCTTTTTCTCATTGTTTAGAAGTTGCAGTTATTGAGGAGAAGTATACGTAGGGAATGATTTTCACACTATTGTTTTTGTATCAATTGATGCTTTTGTTTAGACAAATAATATTGCTCCACAATATAAATGAAACATCATTTTATACCGATTATGCCAAAAATGGATAAACTTCTTTATACTGATTATGCCAAAAATGGATAAACTTCTTTATACTGATTATGCCAAAATGATTTTTACTGCATGAATATCTTGTCAAGTTCTACACTACCACCTATCTACTACATATATCTGGGCCTATTTTTTTGCCTCTTTTGTTTATGGTATCAACTTAATAACTGAGAAAAAGGCTTTGGAATGACCCCTATTCAACTATCTTCTTCCATCTATTCATCTCCTTGGATTTTGCTTGGTGATTTCAACATTACCATGCACATTAATGAAAAATCAGGTGGTTCAGTTAATTGGACACCCCTATGGAGGATTTCAGGCAGTGAACCAAGCAAATTGGCTTGGAGGACCTTAGATATAATGACATATTTATCACTTGGTCAAACAAAAGTCAGAATGAGGCCAACATATCCTGAGAGCTTGAGCTCTCATCAACTCCTATTAACATCACTACTTTCCCATGTCAAAATGTTTTTTCCTCCCTCAAGGCCTTTTTGTCCATTCCCCAACTCCTTTTAATCTTGTTAACTCTAATCTAGGACATGGATGCGGTGTAACGGACATGAGGTTTTGTTGGGTGTATGTGACTGAACATGTCATTGCCGTCGTGAAACTTTATTGACCTTGTACAACACCAGATGTGCTGACTCAGATTAGTCATTATGGGCTTGGAACTAACTTGACCAAGTCCGTAGGGACTTTGAGGAGACTCGATTGTTTCCATGGGGACTCATCAGAGACTCGGTCAATTACCTAGGGACTCAGTCAAGTCTCGAGTGATTCTGATTCCATTGATATGTCGGTGGGACTCAGACTCAGACAAGGCTGAGTTTGTTGAGACAGCGAGACTCGGCCCCTATAGTTTCAAGTTACTCAGAAGCTAAAGCTTCTAAAGCAGCCTCTTAAAGCCATCAATAAAAGAGACATTAGTGACACTTCCGATAGAGTTATGAGAGCTAAGCATGAGCTATCTTGCATGCATACCTTTTTCCATCTTTTGTTTGTGAGTGTTGCGCATACCTCAGTTTTAAACTGCCTGGATTTAAGTGTTAGATAAAATCATGTTGTCACATTATAGAGATCTCTATTCATCATATTCTATTTTGATTTGAAAGTAAGGTGATTTTTCCTTGCGTTAGTTAAATTAACATTTTAAACGATATGAAGCTTTGATATTTTGCTAGTTTCTTCCAATCAAAAACATAGAAAAAGGATATGTTAATGGTCATGTGTTGGTTTTGTCAACTCTTCTTGATAGTTGATAACTTTTTTTTCCAATGACTTTATTCAAAGGGATATTATTGTAAAATAATTTTATCTAATATTCAACTAAAATACTAATTCCATGTTTTACTTGAATCTTGATAAATCTGAAATCTTCTTACTATCTACTCTATGTTCTTTGATTTAAACCTATCTATCAATCTTTTATAAAGTTGCTAATTATCATTTTCGCTTCCAGATGTTTATCTTTTAGGAACAGTTATGCTGGTCTTTGGCATGGGCCTTTATGAGCTATTCATCAGCAATCTTGACATTGCAAAGTCGCTGTCAGATGAAAATGTTCCATACAGATCAAATCTCTTTGGTTTGTTCCCACTAAAGGTCAGTCTGAATTATTTAAATTTATGCAATCATTTTAATGAAGCAATGGAAGAATGTCTCTCTCCTTTTTTTTAATCTATTTATTTTGTTTTGTATCTCTAACCCAAATTTATTTTAGACCCTAGAATTGTGTCACATCCAACATCAAACGGGAACATGATGGGTTCTAGGCTTATGGGGGATAGAAGGGGAGGGGGGAGGGGTAGTTAATAGCTTAAGTTTTTGGGTTGGATGACAAATGTTTTGCCCATGATAATGGCACCAGAGCCGTGGCCCCACCCTCTCCAGGGAATGGAGCCAGCCACGATGAGCACGTTGTGTGTTGGGATGGAAAAAGTGTCACTGTCTCAACCCATCCATCTTGTATGGATATTGTTCACTTTGCACATTCTCTGTGTTCACAATTTTCAAAATGCGTTTGCACATTTAGAAGATGTCAACGCATATAAGTATCAACAACATCTCTCCCGAGGCAATTTGAGACATCACAGTCACCCCCTCTTGGAACTCATCGTCCTTGGTGGCCTCACCCTCGTGGGCTTGTGCATGGTCTCCCCATTTCCGGCTGGGGATGAACTCTGATACCACCTGTCATGACCCGCCCACCCAATGTAGGTATTGTCCACTTTGCACATTTTCTGTACTCACGATTTTCAAAACGCGTAGTTTGGAGATATCCACACATATAAATAACAACAATCTCACCCCCAAAGCAATATGAGACGTGACGTTCCATATCGGATAGGAGCATGGCGTGTTTTGGGCTTACACTCTTTAAAAAATCATTGTGAAGCCTTGCGAAAATGGAATCAATTGTTTTTTTTCATATAATTTTTAGTGAATTTGTTTTGTTTTTGATATTATTTTAATAGAGCATTTTTCTAATTCACATTTGTCTACTTATATTCTTGCTTTTCTCCCATGACGACTCCAAGTTCATTCTTGACTCTCTCTCAATATGCGTTAGTTGAGCTTTTTAACATAAACTTTAAAATGTAAATACTCATTAAGAAGGAAATCAACAAACAAAATGCAGCAACCTCGTTCCTAATTTGTTTTGTTTTAAATTTTCAGGAACGGCCGAAATGGTTAGAAATAAAATCAGTGAATGAGTTGAAAACCAAACTTGGCCATGTAATAGTGATGATTCTTCTTATCGGATTATTCGACAAGAGTAAGAAGGCTATTATTCAGTCTCCTGTGGATTTGCTTTGCTTCTCAGCTTCTGTGCTTCTTTCCTCTGGTTCTCTGTATCTGCTGTCGAAGCTCAATGGCTCAAAATAAATTTACCACACGGAGTTTAGGTAATACCTTCGGAATTGTTGCTGGAGAAATCCGAGTAAACTATTTGTATTTGTATGTATGAAAAGGCAATGCGCTTGTGCATGATGTACAGGATCACATATATGTGATAATATATATATATATATATATATATATGATTTGAGTCTTTCGTTGCCTTATATAATTTGAAGGAAATACTAGAGGAAGTGGAAGAGGAAGACCAAAGTTAACCTAGGTAAAGTTGATAAAGAAACATATTATAGCATGTGAATTGATGGAAACTACGACCTTAAATAGAACAGAAAGAAAACACGAGTCATGTAGTCGACACCAAATAATTGAAAAAGACTTCTTGTTGTTTTTGTTGTTGTTGTGTGTTATTTGATCTAGATTATGGTTTTAGATCATGATAGAGGTCGTAGTGACAGTATTACAATATTCAGTGTAGCAATATTAAAAGTATTGGTCAATGCATAATGGAAACGGATAAAAAACTGTGAAGATGTTATTTTTACTAGTAATAATGCTCGAAGAACTAACTGATTTTGCATATCACACCCCCAGTTTGTTATATATTTCATGTTGATAGTTGTTTTTAGTGAATTTTTTTGTATTAAAGGACATGATTGGTTATGAACTTGTGAGATCTTATAACCAAACCCGTTGGCGCATTGGCATCCACTCTCAGACAGAGTCTCACAGCATAGTCCATTAGGGAGTTAGGGGTGGGTATCGAAGAAGAACTGGCAAAAGTATACTTAAGAATTTCAGTCGAAAAATGTGGATACAATAGGAATGCATGGTTTATCGGTTGATGATCAACTCTTTATGTCGGAAAGTTTCTGAATCCGAGTTCGTAATGTGCCGCAGGAGCTAACCACGGAGACTATGGCGGCAAGTCCAAATTAGGTGATTCTTGAGTTTAAATTCAAGAATTTTGAGATAGCTTTCCAATTGTGCCAACCTCATCTTTAGATTCATTTCCTATTGAGGCATGGAGACCATTCAACGTCTGTTCTACATTGGATGAGCTCTTACGTCGCATTGCCTCTACCTCTACAAATATTCCTCCACCCGCATATTAGCTGACTAGGGTTAATATTGGCCTCTTCATTAGTATGGTTATGCATAATGTCTGTAAACATGAACTTTTATTATTTGTGCCTTCACTAGTTCCGGTGGTGTAGCTAAATGTGAGCGTATGTTTCATCACTAATAAAGAAATATGATTTTATTCTTTTTGCAATCCTCTAGAGATTTGAACATGTACATTTTTTATTTAGCTGCATAAAACTGGAGCATAAAAATTCAAAATTATAAAAGCTTTAAACTAATTTTTTTTTTTTTACAATTCTAAAACTAAAATGTGTTTGTTTAATAAAATTACATGACATCAGTATTCTTTTACTATCTCTGTCCGACCGTGAGTCTTGATCTTATCCTTCCTTCGCACAAGTCAATGTGGACCACACCACTCTTGTTTTTCCCTCATACTACATCAATCTTTCTAGATGGTACAATTATTGGTTTTTGGCATTTTGCCCTCTGTGGACTCTCCCTCTCACTTTCTCTGTGTGAGTGGAGGAACAACCTATGAGACCGCCGAATTGGAGGCCGGCAGCGGATTGAGGGCTCATCATGATCGATCGCATGGGTGGAACCCACTTCTTTATTTACAAGATCATGTGTACGTTTGTGACAAAATGATGGTAGGATTGAAAATTTTACAAAAGATCGAATTAAGTTGGCATTATAAGCTTAGTGGAAGAAGCATTTTCCTTTTTTCTTTTTTTTTTTCATTGCGATGTCTAATCAACCCATGCTCTTTCTAACATCCTAAAAAAAAAAATTCATTGAGGTATGCTCTTTCTAACATCCTATAAAAAACAATTCATTAAGGTTTAGTTTGGTTGGAGGTTGGAAGGTAAATGAAGGAAAGGAAAAGAAAAGAAAGATATTAATGGAGGGAAATGAAATAATGTGTTTGGTACAGTTTTTTAAAGAAAAAGAAAAGAAGCCGAAGGGTTTGTAAGGATGCATTTTAGGCATGAAGGGTTGGTTTTGTAATCATCCCCAATATGAAAGGAAATGGAGGGAAATGAAAGGAAAGATTAACATTTTTTAAAAAAAAAATTAATTCTTATACCTAATAGTTATAGTGAATTGTCAGACTTACTTTTTTTAATTGGTCATTTATGCAACAAATAAGAGAGTGGAATCTTCCACTTACTTGTATTTAGCATAAATAATTAATTAAAAACCTTTCAATTCACTTTAACTATTTGGTGCAAAAATCACTACTCTATTTTTAATGAAACTTTATTAATATCGAATTTGCTCTTAATTTATGAAAAATGGTATGATAATAAACTTAGGTAAATAGTTTTCTTTTTTTTTCTTTTCCCAAACATGATTACCATTATTTTCGTTCTTTTCCTATACTAATAAACCAAAAACAATGAGTGGTTAAACAATGTCATCTCATTTCCCTTTTTTTCTTTTCTTTCATGACCAATGTTATGTCTTTTCTTTTCCGCTATACCAAACATGGCTTCCAATTGGAATTTTATTTTTCTACTATTTAGAAATTATTTCCACGCTTGCTTACAAAAACTAGTCAATGTGGGACCTTTACGATTGTATTAAATATCAGTCTATGTGAAACACAATTAGCATCTATCACTAGTTTTTCCATTTCTTTAGATTGCATGCAACATATAACTTGTTCGTTCCATTTCTTCGATCTCTAGCTTAACACACATGTCTAAAACCTATCCTGTCAGTCTGTCACATACTCTTCATGCATGGATTCACATCACAGCCTCTATATGCCAACCCTTCTTTGTATGCTCCTCTTTTTTGTGCAGCAGCAGCAGCAGTACTTCTACTCGGCAGCAGCAGCAGCATCATCACCGCGCGTCGTCAAAACTTCAACCATCAGCTCTCCCTGTTGGCACTTTGAGCAGCCCTAAACATCCCTCGTGGACGACGACAGATCACACTACTTTCACATCATTAAAACTGTCACAAGAAGTTTGAGCCAGTGGTACCCCCTGCAAGACATTGCCCCTGCATTGGTCATTTCCCAGTACCCCCTGCCGGACATGGCCCCCGTGTTAATCGTTTGCCACCCCCTGGTGCGACCTAGCTATCTCAATATTATAAATCACATAGTATGTACGTACATGATCGACCAATCATGCTTGGTATGTCCACCTCCACCTACCTAGCATAGAAGAAAATATAATATTCTACAATATTTTCCATATTATGCACGTAGAAAATATAATAATGTAGAGATTACTTTTATGCACGTAGATACCGATTTTTTGTGCACGGAAATGGTACATATATGCTAAAAATGGTATTTCTATAATTCTATGTACAAAAATAGTACCTGATCAAAAATAGTAAGAGTAATTTGGGCAATGAATAACTTTCTTTCATGTCCACATCATTATTTTGGTATTTTTTTTCAAAAGATTAGACTTTAACTCCGTTAAATTATAAGTATGTGCCATGAGTCGATCTATCTGTGTAATAATTCCATAATAATAAGATATTCTAGAATAGATAGGATCTAGCAATTGTTAAGTCTCTCCAGTGGATCATGACTTATGAAGGCAATTCGCAGCAATTAATGTTTTTGTTTTGAGATGCTATCTGAACTAACCAAAAAAAAAAAAAAAATTACGTGGCGTCCACATGATATTATCCTTTTAATTTTCATATCTATTATTTTCAATTGGCAATATTGCTTAGTCATGAGTTGGGTGCGTATTTCAATTTAAAAACAACTTCACTTTTGTTTTTATGGATTGATCTGTTAGTAGTTACCATTTATCTATTTAATTTCACCCTCTCAATTTCATGCATGCTTAATTTATTCAAAAATATGCTTCACTGTTCGTGTATATGTTAATTGGACCATGATTTTGAAAGCATACCACTATCTATCTTATTTATATGTGGAAAAAAATATTTGTTTTTGAAATTGTTTACATAAGCTGTTGTGACAAAATAATAATAAAAATAAATAAATAATGAATTATGTATATGATTTTGGAATTTATATGAATTGTTGGAAAAACATAAACTTGCATGTCAAAAATTAAGACTTTTTGCACGTGGATATGTGAATGACAAATGTTTGTTGTAAGTGAAGTGCAACAATTACGTCGGGTTCATACGAGGGATGTATTTTTAGAGTCACATGATAATTTCGACATCAGAATAGTTAATCAATGCAAAAATAATAATATTGATTTGGAGAACTGATTTGTAAATGAAACTGAATTGGTTTTTTCATCTACATATGTCCTTGTGTATTGTTTTGTATATTGATAGTATGAAATTTTTTTTTTTTTTTTTTTTTTCAGGGTGGTATGGACAAGAAAGAGGACAAGGAATGAAAGAGATTTAAGAGAATCGCTTGTCAAGGAGAATCTGTTTAGCTTAATAATAGTAGTATTAGCTTTAAAGAAGTTAGGGGAAAAATAATAATAATAATAATTGTGGGATGTCATGATTTTCACCACCGTTGTGTGATAGACCAGTATATGAATATCTAATTCCAAAATCATTATTTTATTATTATTCTTTTTAATAACTTGGTGTTTGGGTTTTACCCCGACTAATTCACCGATCCATGCAAGGCGAACCCTCCCACAAGGATTGAATAAGGTTCGGATTATGTCCATGGTCGTGACTCTAAGAAGAAATTACGTTAAGACTTAAATTTTCAACCCAAGTCTTTTTCACTGAACCCCCTCGTGAAGATAATGCATTATGGGTTGATGTATGGAAAATGTGCAGGCCCAAATAAGCTAGAAGAGAGGCCAGGAGTCAAGAAGCACTGGTGCTGTACAAAAATATATAACAGATAAAAACGCCACAACAATATCATTCGAAACAAGGACAGAAATATAATTAAGAGCCCAAAGGTCACTTCCTTGTTATATGCCCCGTGGTTCAGGAAATTTGGAATCAAATGTTAAAGGCTATAAGAATGTCACTTATAAAACAATTATATGCTTTAAGAAATTTTAAAAATAAAAAATTGTACAAAACTCTGCTTGGTTCATTTTTTAAAAAATTATTTTTTAAAAATTCAGTTATAAAAATGTTTATTTTCAGAGAACTGTTTTTTACAATTTTCTAAAAACGATTTTTTGAGTGGCACACCAAACAGGCCTTATTTTAATAGTTCTATCATTTGTATTATAATTTTGTTAAGTGCATGAGTGATGTAAAGTGTGTTTGGGTCGTTAAATTTACACCTTGCAATATACAGTGGATAGAATTTTTTTTAGTTTTCTATCATACATTATTTAATTTATGAGTGATGATAGTTACACCGAAGTCATGCACTGATTTGTTAAACAGAATGATGTGGCAGTCCAACTGGCGGCAGAGAACATTAAATATGATTTTTTACTAATTTAATTATGCACTTGAATCACTTTTACTGTTCACCATCACATCCCTAATTTCAGAAATTTTTTCGCCGTTATCAATTTCTCACTCGAAACACTTTTACTGTTCACCATCCCATTCCTAATTTCAGAAATCTCTTTGCCATTCCCAATTTCTCTAGATAAAGATTGCGTTTTTTTTTTTTTTTTTTTCCTCTTATTCGACGCGATCTACAACAACTCCAAATGTTTTAATGATCTACAACAAGCTTTTGACGATTTGCAGAGTACCTTTGGTAAATCATATATATATGTTGCTGCAATTTTTTTTTTTTAAGAATTCAACACCAATGTCAATCCAAGATTGATTCAAACGATTAGCGTTGGTCAAATAATTCCATCTATATATATATATATATATATCTGGTTTACCAAATGCACTCAATAGTTTCAAATCATTAAAAAGTTGCAAATCGTCAAAACATTTGGAGTTATTGCAGATTACGTGAAAAAAAAAAAAAAAAAAAAAAAAAAAAAAAAAAAAAACCCAAGAAATTTGAGGATGATGAGAGAAACTTCGTTTGAAAAATTGGGGACAGCGAAAAGTTTCTGAAATTAGGGAAGAGATGATGAACAGTAAAATTGAATAATTAGATTATTAAAAAATCACATTAAATCACGTTCTCTGCCAGCTGGACTATCACATCATTCTGTCCAAGAATTCAGTACATGGTTTCGGTATAATTATCATTACTCTTAATTTATTTATTTATAATTTTTATTTTTGAT